TGGAATATTCATTGCAAGAGTTCAGGCACTTACCGTATTTACGCATGTATAGGCCGCACATTTTTTGCCAAAAATTCAAGAGGAAAACTGGGGTGCGGCTTATATTCGAAATATTCGAAATCACACTTAATTTAAAAAGAATTATATTCATAATTAGTAATACAGGGTGTAATACTCCTGAAATAATATTCCAAGAAAATTATTTTTTCTATAATTTCTGTCTGAAAATTGTGCTGCGGCCTATATACGCACGCGGCCTATACATGCGTAAATACGGTATACTATATACCTATTCAGAACACCTAATAAAACCCCAACTATTCATGATCAATTCCAAATTTATTATTTTATTAATGACACATTTTAAATGTAAAAAATGGATCCATTTTAACTTGATAATTCAATGAAAACTTATCCGATATATTCATGAATTACCACATGATGATGATTTGTTATGACTGAAACAGTTAGTGGATAGTATATAATAACACTAAATATTAACATTTTTGCTAATATTAGTATTATTAATTAGTTGTGTTGACAGCCACCAGAACACCTCAGTTCCATCGTACACAACAATATGCAAAAATAAAGATATCCTCAGTCATGTTCAGTGTTCAGTATAGAATGACCACTAAGTTTAATTTATTAATATATCTAAGTATTACAAAGAAGCTACAAATAATATATGGAGCTGAAGATATGCACTTACCGTATTTCTACCAGTAGTAATTTCATATCTGCTCTAGTCTTTTCTTTGAGAAGTTTGAACTTTTCATTCAGTAAATCAACATGCTTCTGAGCAGATTCTTTTTCTTCATGGATTAATCTATCAATCTGAAAAACAACTTGAGAAATAAGAGATGTAACAAGGGAAGAAGACTGTTTTTAATAGTTTGAATGTTTAGAATGCTACTAATAGAATATAAGTTAGTGATAATGATGATAGCAATAATTAATTCACACCTAGCAGAGACAAAGACAAATACAAAATGCATATATAAGTTTGCAAGAAATATGTAAAATTGATAAACTTCTATTCACTAATTTCATTCTGTTATCAGAATTTGGGAAAAGACCATAATTTCTTGATTACAGCAAAGGAACACCTCTGATCAACTCACAGAATATAAATTTAGAGTGAGACTGAGAGAGGAAATGGGAAAGCTGAAAGACATAATACATAATAACACAAATATTAACAAGCATGAATAAAGAGTTCCAGAGTTTGAAGGAAGATATTTTAATATTCTAAATATTCAGCAAATGTAGGCCAATAGTAACTGTTTCTCATACAGTTTAAAGTGAGAGTTACAAACAGTAAGGAAACTGCAAGACAAAATACATAATAACAACAAGGATAAATAAACAGTTAAACAGTTCAAAGGACGATATCATTTCAGACAGAAATATCTTACAGTCTCAAACAAAAAGCTGGCTAATATGGAGGTAAAACACTATGACTGGCTTATAGTATTTTGGATTGTAATATGTTAAAGCTTAATCACTTTATAAATATAATTTGAGAAGTATGGTCTTCCAGTTACCCTGTACTTGCCTTATGTAATGATTCCCTGATTCTTGAGATTTTTTCAATGTGATCAACCTCATTAATGAACACTTCTGAAAAACTTGATGTCCGTGAGAAACTTAAATCGTGTACTTCCTTATTCCTCGTTTTCACTACTGAAACATCTGCAAAACAAAAATACATTAAACAATGATATCACTAACAACAATATTTAACAGCATTAGTAGCAGTTACTTGCAAACCAAAGAGAAAACTATTTCTTGGGTGGTACCGAAATTAACTAACTCCATGAAGCAGTCTTTCTTGAGAAGCTGTTATCCATTTAGCTAGATACCAATGAGCCTTATCAATTCCATTCAATCTGATTAATGCTTTTTAGTGAAACTACTGCCATAGGATACATCGTACATACAATCCAAAAAGTAGCATGAATATTTCAACTAAGTTCCTTCATACTACTATGGAATACAGATAACCCTCCTCCCCCCAAACCCCTCAAATATCATATTCTGCTAATTAACATTACATATGTTCATCTATGGAGTAAAATGTATGTTGTAATGGGCAGGATCTTTGCATCCTTTTAAATTTCTTAATTTTTTTGGTAATTTATTTTTAACTCCCATATTCATTACACCTTTCCTAAAATTATCTGTTCTACAAAACGGAACATGGAGGTTCAACTTTTGGTGTGTGTTATGATTATAAATTGCAGCGTTTTGTTCCAATTTCTCTACATGTAGTTTTATCTGGTATATTACTTCATATACATATGCAAGGTACTGGAAATACAGTGCAAACTAAACAAAGAAAATTGTTAGATTTTAAATGGTTCTGATGATGGTGTATAACACTCAGAATCATTGGGTTTTTGGACTTGGTCCATCGTATGGTATTCTAGAAACTAGAAGACACAATGCATTGGAAACTGGATCTGTTTCCAACCTCAGGTTGGCGGGGACACCTACTCAGTTGAGTCCATCAGGATGAGCTAACCTTAGTAAAGATACATGTTTCTACCTGCTTTCCTATCCTAGTTCCATGCATGTGTGTGCTCTATCACAATTTTTATTGCATATTTTCTTGTTATCTCCTGCCGAATTAGCCTGTCTCAGGTGATTAAATATCTGTAGTGAATCTGACAAAGTTTGTCCAGTGATTGAGGTTAGGTCTTTCTTAGGGACCGAACTGAGTAGGTGTCTCTCCCCCTTCACCTGAGGATGGAAACAGATCCACTTTTGAAAAGTTGTGTTTACTAGTTTCTAGAATACTGGATGATGGACAAAGTCCAAAAACAAAGTGATTCCACCCAAACTTATTTTATACCAACTCTGAAATTTGCAGCAGTAACAATGTCATTTACTAAGAGAGATGAGAGCAAGATTCAGATTTACAATATGCAGTATTTGGGGGG